TGACTTTTGTGATCGGGCCTTGAGCTTCACGGCGTCGGGTTTAAATCTCAAGTGAAGGCTCCTCCTGCCCTTGACACATGTGCGGGTTCTTGCAGTGTAGGGCTGATGGTTGACCCCTACAGATTTGTGGGTGCTGGCTTGTACTTCTAGCAAACTGAGCTCACCACGCTTGTACGCCGGAGCCTGGGCAGAGGGACGCAAATAATGTCTGTTCAGGAAGGACTCCAGGCTGCAATATTCTCTTGATCGGTACCGAGGTTGATGAGTGGCTGTGCAAAGACTCGCCGATCCTTCAGAATGCCGGGTGCTCCACCGCCGGGTCTAGCTTCAGTGTTGGCGCGGTGTCTCTTCGTAACCAACTAGGCTTGGGCTTAGAAGAACGGTCTGTGCCAACTTCGGCCATGTGGTCTATCCCAGTTTGGTATTTGCGGGCAATGTGCCCAATGGCATGAGCCACGACACGGGCAAAGAGCTCTGCAGCAAGCTCGGGTCCCGGCGAACAGCTGCTCACTCGCAATGTCCTCTTGGTCTTGCTCCGGAAAGCTATTGCTGAACTCCTTGGTGTGCCACGGCCATGTGATCGCAAAAAAAAGCAACGTCTAAACATGCTGGCAATACCTCCCCCCCCTCCGGCCGCAACTCCCCTGATCGCTCTTTCGCCCGCTGGCCGCCAGGATGCTGCACACCAAACCCCAGAGACAGATTCCCAAACCCCGGCTCTACCTCCTCAGCAACCAAGTCTCCTTCCCGACCCCGACTTCTGAAATCGCCTTTGAACCCTTGGCCCAAGCCCTCCCAAGCCCTGGATGTCCCAGAAAGCCCTCGTACCCCCAAAGACCCTGCTCTTTTTCCGGAGAAGGCCGGGAGCAGAACCGGCTTAAAGTCAGGCAGGAAGTAGCAGTCGAAGCCTGGGAGTGGATTTGGGGCTGTGGGCTTTTCTGGACGGTTTAGGGCCCCTAAACTCCTATTTTTATACACTTTACGTAAGATCTTAAAAACTGAGAAAGCCCTATGTCAACTCTTTTCAAGGTCTTCAGGGAAGAAGGCTCGAGGCTTGTATTTCTGCCTGCTTTCGGACTGCACAGGTCAAGGCTTAAGTTGAGTAAACTAAAGTAACTAAAGAAGTCGAACACGAGTGCCTGGTCTGGCTTGCGTTCATGAATTGAAAACTTCGGTGTTCAAGTTGGAGCAGGGTTGTGTGGTTCCAGGATATGTCGAAGAAGCTCTTTCTCTTGGCGGGTCCGGATGAGTCTGCGCTCTTTCAGCAGCTGGCATAATAATACAAAAACGTTTTCGGTTTTCGTGCGTCCTTTTTTTGAGCAAGCTTGCCGCACCTGTCGCCCGCAAATTAGAACTTAGAACTGCCCTGCAGTATGAAGGGGCCCGACTTTGAGCCAGAATTACCGACCTAGGTACGAAAAGCAACGGAAACAATACGAGCGAAAAAATAGTCCCTGCAATGGCTGAGTTTCAATTCTGACCGCCATCGAGATGACGTCAACAGTCGAATGATGGTAATGATGGTACACACAAGGCCCAAGGCTATAGTCTTTTCAAGACATAGAGCAGTAAAACAAAACTGTGCCAAAAGAACTGAAACATGTAGGGCACCGACTGATTGTCGGCGTGGCCATCGTGGCTAGCGATGAACCTGTGATCTTCTCGCGGCGACCCTCGTACCTGCAGGGCGGAGCACACACAGGGCTGCAATCTCCAGAGCAACCACCCGAATCCTAATGGAGGCTTTTGTAGTATTAAAACCCTAAACCCCTAAGCCCTAAATAGCCTCATGCAATTTGCGGAGATCGTAATTGAGAAACCTCAGGTTGAGTCAATTCGCCGTGCTCGGCCCCGGTATCTTCCGGCAACCGCGAGTGCTAAGTCTGGTACGGTCGTAGGTGGAAATGACTTTCCGCAGAGGGTTCACATTGAAGCGACGTCAACCCGGTATTCACTGCTACAGCAAACTCTGTAAACTGTGATCTGCAGCCAACGCGTTTTTGTTCGCCCCGAAACTCCAATCCTGAACCTGACACAAAAGAAATCGTCAAGAAGACCAGAAAAAGCAAGCATCAGCGGGTATGAGGGTGTTGTGGACTTTCGCAAGAGCTGGGTCGATGCCCACCGTCGCCTCAGCTTCGCAGGGGGGCAGGCGCCCTGTCCACTTCCTTTGCGAAACCTTCCGCCACCCAACCCTTTAGGGTTTAGGGTTTATAAGGGTTTAGGGTTTAGGGGTTAGGGTTTCTCACACAATCAGAGGCACTGCATGTTACTCAGCTTTCGGTTTCAAGACGAAACGCCAGCCAGCCCCTGCCCCCAGTCTGCTCCGAGAAGCGTCTCCGGTATCGTCCTTCTCGCGGTCGGCTTCGTCTGTGGTATTCTCAATCTGCCTCTTGCAGCTTGCAGCATGCACAGATGCCAGGCCACAAGGAACTAAAGCGGCACAAAATATCATGTTCAAGGGCTTTCGGGGGAGCCCTCTACTCAAGCCCAGGTGCTTCGTCTTCACGACATCTCGACAAAGAGCTCGCTCCACTTGCTGTCCAAACCGCGTCTGGCACACGGGATGCACATACTCTGAATATTCTGATCAGTTTGATTTGTTGTTGCTATCGTTGCTGCAGGTGGTTTGGTTCTACTACTGGTATCGCAAGTATGTATGCGCATGTGGGGCTTCTACAGTGTTGCGGATCGAAAGGTAGATGAAGGCCTTGTCTTCACACTGCTTGAAGCATATCACGCCTCAAAGACCTTATCACAACTTAAGATTTAAGCATTGGCACACGCGCAATTCTGCTTGTGCTTTCTGACGCCTTACTGATGAATAGCTGTGCAGATGGCAACAATTACATCATTAAGTTATTAAGGTTAGACTTTGGTAGGGTCAACAGACTGGTGGAGCATGTAATTTCCGGAGGTGTCCAAGAAAGTGGCCTACGAGCCTCGAAGTATTTCTTCCGGCCATGCCAGCACCATCAGGTACTTCATCACTACAGTAATCGCTACCACCAGAGGACTTCTCCAGGCAACTTCAGCCTAGAATGATAGTGTGGTTGCGGGCGGACCCAAAAGACTCTTTAGGCCCTGAGGCCTTCTGCAGGTCAAGCTTGAAAGCACCCAAGAACTCAGTGGGCACCTCAACAATCGCGTCCGGGCTTTCCTTTACGGGTCCTGTAAGGGTTCCTTGAATAGGGTTGGAGGCTTCAGGGCTCCTGGGTGCAGGGTTTAGGGTGTTGGGTTCCGGGCTCACGAGATGAGGGTTCACTTTTGGCAGCTGGAGCCCCGGAAGACCGACATTCAGCAACGCAACCACAATACGGTTTGGGGTTTAGGGGAGGGGACGGGAAACAGACCTCGCAGGGCACGGCTTTGGAGCCAAACATCTCCTGGTGCTTACTACAGCGGCTGGCCGACACTATCGCATGGACCCGTACTAGAACCGTGGTCGCTGCTGACGTGAAATTAAACGGAACTAGGTGGCAGTATACCTTGAGAGAGCAAACCCAAACCCTGAACCCCATAAACCACTAAACAAAACCCATATATATATAATCTATATATACATATATATATATATATTATATATAATATGTGTATATATATATATAATATTATATATATATATAGCAGCAGATAAAACCTAAACACACATGTAGCAGCATATAAACACTAAGCCCTATTCCCTATTCTCCCTAAGCCCTGTACGTCCCTTATCCCCAAAATTTTTGCCGGGCCCAGGAACGCCGTCCCAATGCCAGACCTCGATGTCCAGGAACCCCTTCGACTTCATCTCCTCCCGAGCTCCAACTCTATCGGGGAGAGACTCTAATGGAGCTTCGGGTTTAGGGTTTAGGGGTTTAGGGATTAGGCCTGAAGGGAGGGACTTTATACAGCTTCGGATTTCGTCCGTGCTGTCCGTACTTGCACGAGGCATGTTTCTTCTGCATTTGGAGCTTCCATGCCTCGTTCTGGTCTTCAATAACTGCAATTGCCCGTTCTCTGCTTCAGGCTGCTGTGTGGAATTTGGGGGCTGAACGGGTTAAGGTTCAAGTTTTGGGGTTGTGAGAGCTTGGGTTGCAGGGCTGAGAGTGGGGCTAGTTGTGTGCTTCCTGGTGCCTCTAGATGCACTGGCTGCAGGTGTGGCATCTGCTACCATCAACCTCTTTGCATTTCGCAAGCCCAAACCCGAAAGCCGAGGGCACAGGATTGTGCAGATTGCGCAAGCTCTCAACAAACGGATCATTGAGCAGTCGTGTGGATATTGCTCCAAGCTCGAGGCAGAGGGAGTCTAGGGTTTACAAGATTGACACAGCTTTGCTTGGCATACAACTCATGCAACGTGCCCTGAAGAGTTTTTTGTGAAGCTACCTCTCGTCCCTGGATCGTTGGAGTGCATGTTTCTCAGCTGGATGAAACTCCACAAGGTCGAAGTGCTGCATGTGGGAGTCTGTACAGGCCACAGCATTTGGGTGAGGGTCTCCCTTGCACTGCCACAGCCTATCGTCTTGTAGGGTCGGGTCTGAATGACCGGAAGCAGAATTCCTTGGTCTTATACGAACACGAATGTAAAAACGCACGGTTGTGGCAGTTCCGGGTCGGGTACAGGGAAGGTACAGGGAAGGGGAAGAAGGGAGGAAGCCGGACCCGAGCCGCTTCGCGCATGATGAAGAGCTGCCACACTCTCGCTTCGTGCGGCAGACCGGCATTTAAATGGCATTCGAATTGATGCCGGGTTCATCTCTGCTGAAGTATCCGGCTGCGTGGCTTCTGGGACACATGCCGAATCATCAGCAAGAACATTAAATGGATGTAAGAGTGGCTATTTCGATTTGGATTTGTGATGAGTGCAACATCAGGATCACAACATCCCGCAACTACGTCAAGGTGAAGAAGATATTGGGAGTCACTAGTCTATAGTCACATTAAAGTCATCGGTTCCCTAACAGGGGGTTCTTGACGAAGGGGCAAACGGTTTTTGGTTGTCGTTGGGCTTTTTGTATCTACGCTCCACTCACTTCGCAGCGGCGCAGTAAGTGCTGCGCAGTTCGGCGCACCTGTCGGATGGCGGACGTCCTGTCGGCGGCGGCAGAGAAGCTCATGCTGGTACCTGGTCCGGATTAGCATTGTGGGGTTTCGCGACTTTCACGCGGGAGTTTCTGGGACTTCGACTTTGCCTTCGTGGACAATAGGGCCCAAGAGGGTTTTAAGCTGTTGCACTGGGCCGAGGCACGACGTTGCGCAGACCCGGGCCGTGAGAGTACTAACTCAGACTCCTACTCGTGATTTGAAACAAGCCTAAAACCAAAACCCACGAAGCATGCCGAAGGTACAAACCCATCCAACTTCGTTTTTCATCAGATGCTGGGGTGGGGGCAGTCTGGATGTCAAGAACCTAGGCTTGTCTCGTCTAGATAGCTTCGAAATACATGCAAGTTAAACCTGTATAACCCAGAACCCTCATGTATGAGTCCCAAAAGAAGCCTATAAGACCTTTCTAGCCCTATTCAAAAACCTAATGTTAGAGTCCCAAAAGAAGCCGAGTCACTGATTTTCAACAAAGTCAGAAGCATCTCTTCAGCTCCCAAGTCACTGTCCACTTCTGCCTCCCCGCCCTCATCGGGAGGCTCATCCTCCTGAAGTCGTCTTTAAGGGGCTTTAAAGCTTTTTTTCCCTCTCTCATGGCGGATGGTTTAGGCTTTAGGGCTTAAACCTTAGGCTTGAGGATTTTGGGATTCAGGGTTTCGGAAGTGCGAAGCCCTGGTTCCCCCAGACCGCTTAATATACGAGCCTTTTCCAATTAGAACAGTTGGCTGGGGGTATACAATTTCATTGTAATTACAAGCATGAACACTGCGGCATAGCATGTGCCTCTTCCGACCCCTAAGATGATTGGACTCAGAGAAACCTCAAGTCCTGAACCCGAAACCGCATCTCTCGCACGACCTGCTCCCCTCGATCGTTCCTTTCCTTCTTACTGCCTAGAGCTTCAGGAAAGAGGAAGCTGCATAGGTACTGAAACCACGAAATCCGAAATCCTCCGCCCTCAAAATCAGTTAAACCCTAGAAGCCCTTGCCCCAAGCTTCCCCCGGCAAGGCCTCTTCCTCTTCATGCACGGAGGAAGCCCGGATCAGTTCCAAGCTACGATCGCAGAGCTCCTGGCTGCATTCACGGATTTAGCTTCAGGATGCTCCTAAAGGGTCCTAGGTACTGTTATGGGGGATACTTTCCCAAATTGTATGAAACAGTGTTCCGAAAAAAGAATGGTGCATTCTACTTAAGGCACTTAGGACCCTCTTTTATGACATTGAACCTTTGAGCATTACCGATACCAGGACACCCTCAACGCAGGCCTAATGCCTTATACCGGGTATCAAATCGTCGGAATCTAGATCGTATGTAGCTTGGATTGGACTTCGGGGAATCAAGCATCAGCTTCGAACGCTCGGGTGGGGGTGCGTTTCTAGCGGGCCAAACTCTGGCTGAGGTTGGTTCAAAGACTGCAACTCAGAGCTAGTAAGCCGTAGGCACAGGGTTCTGGTTTCTGGCAATTATCGAAGCCCCCAAAACCCCTTATCCAAAGTCGAAGCCCCAGCATGCAAGCTTGCCCCAGCACCGAGTCAACTTTAAGTTTTCGGGCTTGCCTGCCTCGCACACCCTAACTCCTCCACTCTACCACCTAAACCTCCTAAACCTCCCACTTCCGTCAGGCTATTCCTGCACCTGAACCTCACAAAACCTCCAAATCCTAAATCCCATACACCCTGTTGGATTCTACGTTCCTGGATCTGGCGCGCGGCACCTGCAAGTTTCTTGCGATCCTCTGCTGCAGTGGGGTTCTCAAAGGGTTCTTCTAACGGGGGTTAGGGTTCAGGGTGGAAGGCTTTGGGTATGCCAGTGGTTTCTGACAAATTGCACGGGATTTGGGTTCAGAGTTTTGGGGCTTTGGGGTTTCGCCAAGCTCAGGATAAGAGCCAAATGAACCAAGGCGCATGCTGTCTGCGCAACGACCGATTCAGGAGCTAAGGCTTTCGGGATTCGGGGTTTCGACAGGAAGGCACTCTGAGAACACTCGCTTGAAGTTGACAGGAACGGTCAAGGACACTGGGGTGCAATGCACAGACTTGCAGAAGGCCAAAAAACACCAAACCCCAGAACCCGAAGCCTATTTTTGGCCACACTTGGCCAACCCTAAACAGAAGCTAACCTAGAGTCCCAGAAGCATCCAGGGAGTCAAAGGCATCCAAGGCCAGCCCTTGGATCACCGCGAAGGATCGGCCTGTCTTGTGTAAGGCGACAGTGCGGGCAGAGACGGCCGTCCTCGGATCAACTGGAGATTTGGGTAGTTATTCGATTTTTCCCACCCGCCCAGCTGACTAAGTCGCACCTATTCGATTAGGGTTTAGGAAAGTTTAGGATATTGAGTCTTCATGGGTTTAGGGCTTTCGGGTTGTGGATTTGCGATGCAGGCTTTTGGATTTGGGGCTCAGGGGCTTTGAAGCTTGAGGTTTCGAGGTGAGTGTTTGTGGAGCGCTGGATTTCGGGTAAATGTAATGATACATGTCCGATGATGATAAGACTCTGACGAAACCAGGAGTGCAGACGACTGCTTCCCTCCACATTGTATACAGGGTCCGGGATACTTCGCCCAACATCCGTTGAGGGGTTCAAGGCTTTGTAGAGTTTAAAGTTTACCACTGTACTCGTTGCGGGACCGGGATTCTGCATCATCGAATCCTGACCAGAACAGCAGGTAACAGGAGACTAGGTAGTCTTGCCGCTTGACCCCAAAGTACAGAAGGACCTGGGAACTTGTTGTAGGTATGTTACATTTGGGGTTAGAAGTAGCACGACGTGGGCTTCTCAAGCTATGACTACAACCTACATACGAAAGCCCTTGAACCACAACGTCCATACTATTCTAAATGAGGTCTTAGTGTGAGGAGACGACGGAGGAAGACGCACTGTAAACACATCAGCAAGTGGTACTGTAGTCTTACTCCTTCGTAGATATACATGCAGCCTGCGACGATACAGCCCCCGAAAAGGATGTGCTACCAAACCCAAAACTTTAAATAATGACTCTTGTGAATCAAAGACGTTCCCGTCCAAGAGTCCGTGACATCTGTGACCAAAGCTCTGGACAGAAAGACTCCACCAGTTCCTGGGTAGGATTCGGAGTCAGCAGCATGTGCTGCCACGTCTCCCGCCTCGAAGTAGCCATCCTCTGTCTTTCTTTCAGCGGGGCCGAAGCAGTGGTCTGGTATCTGCTCGCTATCTCTATCTCTCTCTCTCTCTCTCTTTCTTGCTTCCGGCTGGCTGGAGCCGGCAAACGGCCGCAGAAGCGCAACGGTCACACAAAGGCGGACATGAAATGCATCACATAGCAGCAACAATTCCAAAGCCCCGAACCCGAATCTGAATATCTCACATCTAACAGCATCTTCAAAAAGAGCTGACACCCCGTGCCGAGAAAGCACTTGTTGCGCCCGGCAGTTTCACACACTATCTTTCCTCGTGCTCGTGCAAGCTTGCTGTATACCTGGACCCCAAAAGTATGTAGAATAATAGCCTTTTATGGGTTTGGGCCATTATCTTACCTACGTTTAGGTATAGTATAGGGTTCATGGTGCTCTTCGTGGAGTTTCGGGAATCTGGGCCCAATCAGGGAGGAGCTCTTGGGCCTCTTCTGGGGTTCGGGGTCTGCGGGTTTTTGGGGCAAAGAGCGCCCTGTCCTCTGGAAAGATGTTCTTCTTGTATGCTTTGTCTTTGTAGATGCACGGGTCGATGAAGCGGACCGGGATGTAGAAGGTGTGATCTCAGAGCAACGGTGTGGGAAATTTCGAGCCCCAGGCAAATCATCAGGAGAGCACGGTCTAGGCTTTCACTTGGGGGTTGAGTACCCTAGCCCCCAAAGGGTGACCATATCGATTACTATATGAACCCCCAAAGGTTACAGGCTACCTGCTCAGCGATGAAGTTCGTGGTTTACGAGGCTTTGAAGCCGGGCAACGCAGTCATACAAGCTCCTGCACTACTGGAGTCGCCTTCTCAACGGTTAACTACTAGCATACAGGCACTTGCAGCCGGCATGAGCGCACTTCACAACAAACCCTCGAGCCCACCCTGAGACCCGAACAGCGGTGACGCCCAAAACTCAACAGATTTTGAAGCTGTGACCGTCCGAAAAAGCCAACCGGCTTTCAATCGCCGAGAAGCTCCAACAAGGCGCCAGGGAGGCCATGACCACAGGGCTTTGCTCCACGGTGCCGTCGTACTTCACGCGAACGAACCTCACAGCGAGCCGGAAGGCTCCTCGACTAAGAGCTTGTTTGTTCACGTCTTAGTCTTGGTGGCGATGCCTCAAATAATGCCCTTGTTCAAGTCATAGTCTATGTGTCAATAAGGCCCTTCAAAGAAAAGGTGCTTTAGCTTACAGTGGGGACCCTTCGACACGGCCTTATGTGGACAAACTTGGTTAGGGAATCTTTAGGGTGTATAGGGTTGACTTACAAGACCTCAACCCATGAGGCTGTAGTGCTTTAAGAGTCTAGTGCCCGATATGGGGTCAGGTTGCTTGCGGAGTATAGAGTTTAGGGCTTTGAGGAATAAGCCTCGAGCTTGTTAATGCCTCACTGCTGCTATTGTGGGCAACTTACAATGAAGGACCCCTAGAATAGACCGACCCTATAAATAATGTGGCTTCCGGTCTAGGGGCTTCATGTTTAACGCAGGCCTCATAAATATTAGCTCTGCCAGCCGCCAAATGGAAGACACGTCCCCGCATCCTGAACACCAGACGCCAAAGCCCTCGCACTTGATCAGCTCAGGGCAAAACGGATTGGAGGAGCCGTAATCCGGATCTGCAACCGGAAGGCCATCCGCCCCATTCACCTTGCAGCGGGTGAGGTTCAGACTTCAGGGCCTACTCCTTCTACACAGAAAGGGAGCCGCTGAAGCAAGCAACAGTTTTTGAGGGGTTTCGAGAAAGTCTGTAGCGGCCAAGGCTCCGTGACCACCAGGTGTTGAACGCTTCCCTGGATGTAGTACATCGTCAGCCTAGGCCCAAGGCAAAACTTTTGGAGCTGCTCTAGAGCTTAGAGGCTCGGGTTTAGGGGTTCGAGGCCGGGAACTTCTAGCAACCACTGCATGTAACCCTTATTAGCAAAGCCTGCTGGGAAACATGGGAGCCAGAATCACAACAGGGGCTCGATCCGTGTCGAAGGCAAGGTCAGCAAAGCTGTGCAGTCTCAGCTCACCCAACAGCGAGAGGAAGGGCTTCGGAGAAAAGGGAGAGAAGGATCATTCCAGAGGGCCCGAGGCACAGCTGGACAGCCTCCAGGCTCTTCTCTGCTTCAGACTTCGGGTAACTGTCTCTTGAACCTTCCTTGCGTCTGGCCCTTGGCTCAGCCTTTATCCATATGGGTTGTTCTCTAAATATGGCTCCCTTTTGGGATCCCCAATGTAGTACGGCACCCTTGTAAAAAGGACCCTAAGAGGGACCCTAATTTAGAGGACTAC